GGGTCAAAATATAAAGGTCCCAAAATACTGTCTATCACACACAGAGGATGACTTTTGAACCAAATACACGAGGTCTAGAACTAATGATCTTTAATTTTTATCCAAAAGGTGAGTAGGCACCTTAAAAGAAGTTCTTTTACTTCTTACTTTCTAAGTGACTCAAGAATTTCTAAAGAGGTAAGGAAGACAAGCTTCTTTCAACCTTTTCCAATCTCAATGCCACCCTTTGCCTTGCTCTTTGCTAATATTGACCCTTCAATTGCCCACCTAAGATTAAGAAACTTGAGGGTTGAACCTGACAAGAACTCCAGCACAATGCACTGAAGAAGTAAATGGCCAAGGGACTCGCTGTCTCTCAATGCCACCCTTTGCCTTGAGCTTTGCTAATATTGACCCTCCAATTGCCCACCTAAGATTAAGAAGCTTGAGGGTTGAACCTGACAAGAACTCTAGCACAACGCACTGAATAAGTAAATGGCCAAGGGACTTGCTGTCTCTCATACAGAAGGATATGACCTCTTTTCATTTGATTGTCAAGTGAGAATTACGCTCCATGAAGCTTTTCAAGATATAAAAACACTTGAGGTGAAGCCTTTTGTCTACAAATTTGCTTCCAGTAGAAGCAATCCATACGCTAGACCCTGTTCAAGTGTTGGAGGTTAAACACTTTACGTAAAGCATGAGTTAGCATCCATGCAATGAATTTCTTCTATTAGTTTACACTTATCAGAGGCAAGGGCCCCTGCAAGAGAAATTATCTCCATTCCTCAATCATTGGGATTATGGCTTGTAACCATCCAATGTAGTTTATTTTCTTTGAAAATAATGTTGAATCCAACACTATCTTGTGTTCCCAGAACTCACCCTAGCATCTTTGGACCTTGCAACTCTATAGTTGCTTTGGATTTGGAACTTTAGAGGACAATCCCCCTAAAACACGGCCTTACAAAAGCTAACTAGGCATCAATTGCCCTTGGTTGAAATTATTGTGACTTATGTGTTGGAAAGAAGATACGAATAGGTAGTTTTAGGTATCTCTTAGAGAAGAAAGAGACAACCTGTATAACACAGTAACCATACAAAAACATATATTTTTATATTCTAACACCTCCTCAAGCTAGCACATATATAAATCATATGCACCAATCTTGTTACAGATGAAATTTCACAAAAGTTCCCCTAAGTCTCAGCACTAAAATCTAGCAACCGCAATCTCTTTCTTCCTGTTCCAAGCAGCTGTGTTACGACCCATAAAGTTACAATAACCATGGTGGATTATATTAGCATCTTTTACCTCTAGATTAAATCAAAGTATATGCCAATGATTCTTGTATAGTAATCCACAAGCTGGTGCATTTTTGAGATATCTGAAGATGCATATACTTCCTTCCAAACTGAAATTTCATAATCTGACTCACAATGCTCATAGCAGATGAAATTTCTTCACGAGTCACGATGAGAGAATTTAATTTTCCAACTCATTTTGTGCACACATCAAGATCATTCAATAAGAAGTCATTTTCATATGCAGCCAACTTAACATTGGGATCCATAGTAGCGTGAACTGCTTAGAAGATCAAAATATAATTCCTTTGTGATAAACCAATTGCTAACTATGATTTAGCTGCCTCAATACCCAGGAATAACAACCTTCATTTACCTTCAATGCAGGTATCTTTTCTTGCTTGTCTCCAATAAGGATGAAAGGGTTGCTTTCATAGACTTAGGAATGGGAACAAAGAATATTAGGTGATGAATACTAAATATGAGAATGATAAGTGATCATAAAAAACAAAATCTGAGGTGATTGTTTTCCTTATCCAAGGGCAATGGATAAAGTAGAGTCAGATACGAAGGAAATAATGGCATGATTGGCAGAGGATGTGAATATTCGTGATTGCCTGCTATTGTACCAGGTCATTAAGTATAAATCTATAATCTGGGATGATCCAAACTAGTAGAATCAGGGTTAAAAATTCAAGTGACAATGGAGACACCCTTGTCAAAAACAAAAGAAGAAAGAGGAAGACAATAACAGAGATCAATTGTGTTAAGTGACTCGAAGAGGAGAGTAGACTAAAAAGATGTCATGTTGGCAAACATAAAGGATGAACATGGCGAAGCATTATTTTTTTGAGATAAAAGAGAAGTAGATCAATAGAAAGGCTCCAAGGGGGAGCAACCCATGTACAACGTGACGAAGCATTATAGCGCTATTGCCTACAGATACCAAGAAATACACAGCTCTGAGTCGAGATTGTATTGATGAGTAAAACAGTCAAC